TGCTGTCTGCATCTGAGCTTTCAGTTTGGCCTGGGGCTTCACCCTCTCCCTCACCTTGCCATTCCTCATGACTGGCTGGCCTGATACACACAGTCTGATATAGCTTAAAATAGATCCTTCTCCCTTTTCACTTATGAAACAATTATTTTGGGTTCTTTTCTGTGCTTATCTTATTTCATGATGTACCTTAAAGGATTCATTAAATTGTCACTCTCCTTATGTACTATATTTCTAAACAGGAGCTCCTGTTTCTATATTAAAATAACTTCAATACAAATTTATTATTTTTAAGACTAAACCTAACAGGGATAAAACTTTAAGTTCTAAGTTTATAAGGACAATTAACTTGTAAACTGTTAAGAATAAGTTTACTTTAATTATAAATTATTAAAGATAACTAAGACATACAACTTATTGAATAATTGGCCAACTTAAATTATAAACTGTTAAGAATAAGTTTTACTTAAATTATAAGCTATTAAATATAATTATTAGGATAGAAGCTAAAGCTTGATCATCTTATAAATGATCAAATTCTCTAATGTATACAAAACTTTGTTTATATACCTGCTAAATATGCTAAATATTAATATATCACTTCCTTACTTAGTCCCCTGGCATTTAAAATGTTTAAGCTTCCCACTATAGAAAAAAAAAAAAAACTATGCCATGCTTCTTATTGCCAGGGTTTTTCCCAAATTACACTTTGGGATTATTTAGATTATATTTCCATTTACCAGGTTTAAAGACAATTTGCCTTACTATCCAATTTCAAATAAAATTAGCTCACCAAACAGATTTCAAAGTAACTTTTTACTGTTCCTTTGTTTAAAGGAATTCACTCTACATTGGCTACTCTCAGTTATCAATCACCTATGTCTCCTGATGATTTAAATATAAAGATGTTTTGAGATGTAAAAGTTTTTGTAAGAATATGAAGGATTAGATATAAAGAATGTTTTGAAAAGTTAAAAAAACAACTTATGACATGTTTTCACAAGTTATGGGGATAGATAAATATAGCATATAAACATCTAGATATGTTATGAATGATAAATGAGTCTGAGTAAATACCCTAGATATACTGAGGATGTATACCTAGGTTAGGTCTAAAATTATAAAATAAGTCATAAAGGTTAGAATATGGATAAAGTTTTTGTAGCAGGAATCTTAAAAGGTCTTATTAATAAAAAACAAACCCAGGAGCCAGATATTGGGGTTAATGCTGGAAGATCAGAGAAGCAGAATAAGCCACAGCCACCTCACCTTGCCAACTTCTCAGCTGATCCTCTATCCTCAATCTGGAAGCCTCTGAGTCCTCTCCGGAAAGGATATCACCTGGACTGCTGCTCAAAAACCTAAAAGCTTAACCCAGCCAAAAGCTTCTAGTTGCTGGTCCTCACACCTTATATTCCTTTCTGCTTCCTGCCATCACCTCCTGGGATTAAAGGCATGAGTCACCATGCCTAGCTGTTTCTAGTGTGGCTTTGTACTCACAGAGATCCATTTGGATCTCTGCCTGCAGAATGCTAGGATTAAAGATGTGTGTGCCACCATTTTCTGGCCTCTATGTCTACCTAGCGGCTGTTCTGTTCTCTGACCCCAGATAAGTTTATTAAGGTGCATAATATATTGGGGGACATAATATCACCACAAGTTTTTTACTGAAGTCTGAGATATATAGGCTTTAGAAATGGACTTGGATTCTACCTCCTTCACACCTGATGTCTCATCAGTATGCCCTAATACCAAAGTCTACAGACACTAGGGCTACTCATTGACCATAGCTCCTCTGCTGTTCAAGGTATTCATGTTGTCCCAGGAGTGCTTGATCCTGACTTCACTGGAGAGATTAAGGTCATTGTACAACCACCTACAAAAACAATTCAGATTCATGCAAGACAACAAGTAGAACAGCTCCTGCTGCTCCTATGCAAGACAACAAAGCACAGCCTATACAGCTGCAAAGGGAGCTGCTGGCTTCGATTCTAGGGAAATGGCTTTTTGGATTCAGGAAACTAAGAATTTTAAAACTCATAAAGTACAGGGAAAGAAAACAACTGGGTTGCTAAACACAGGTACGGGACATTTCTTAAATTTCAGGAAAAGATTGTTCGAGTACTTGGGAGACGACTGTTACTCCTTCCTCTCTAGCAGACCTAAGTCAAGCTAATAATGTAGCTATAAGCTCAGGAATAGTAAGGTAGTCTGATAGAGAAAATCATTGCTGTGCATATCACTCTATATAAATAAAACATTGATGGCCAGTGACCAGGCAGGAAGTATAGGCGAGACAAAGAGAGAGGAGAATTGGGGAAACAGGAAGAAGGAGGGAGAGACACTGCAGCCACCGCCAGGACAAGCAACATGTAAAGACTCTGGTAAGCCACCAGCCACATGGCAAGGTATAGATTTATAAAAATGGGTTAATTTAAGATAAAAGAACAGTTAGTAAGAAGCCTGCCATGGCCATACAGTTTGTAAGTGATATAAGCGTCTGAGTGATTATTTTATAAATGGATTGTGGGACTGCGGAGCTTAGGGAACCTGGAGAGAAGCCCTCCAGCAACAAATGGCGCCCAACGGCTCGAGTTTCCACCTTAAACTGTGGAACCAAAATAAGACCAAAATGCTCTCACCCCAAAACTAAAGGCCTAAGACTGTAAAGGCCTAAGACTGCTCCTTTTAGCTACAGGCCATAAGTTACTGGAACAGGCCAGAAGTTACTGAGACCAGTCAGTTCAGATTCCAGAAACCAGGAAGTGTAAGAGTACAGAGTCACAAGGTAGTCAGGAGGTAATGGCTGCCGGACTATGGAATGTCCTCTCCCTGGCCCCCTAGGCAACTGCTTGACCATAGAATGTCCCAACCCTAGTCTCCATAGTGACTGGGTAATCACCAGATGCCCCCATCTGGGGGCAGCCAATGATAAATGGTGGTGGGCAACTACTTCCTTAGAAGGAAAACTGAATTGTGATTTCTGGAATTCCTAGACACAAGCCAATCAGAATTGTACC